CTGGAGCCTTCTATATGTCTTCATGTCTGATTGTCACATGTCACAGACTTGACAAGAGGTGCTCTAAAAGAAGAGGATGTGGGAGTTCACAGCCAGGGGAGCTTCCTCTGGCACCTTCCCTCTTTCACTTTGAGTGAGCCATGATTTTTGTGCCTGGTAAATAGATTTTTGGATTATATAACCTAAAAACTATTTTTGCAAAGTGGAAAAGTGGGTTAGAAAACTCTAAATTCTCTACCATGAAGATGAATAAAGATAATTCAAACACTAATAACCGGGCTGGCCCGGTGGTGCACTGCTACAGTGCACCGCTTGGGAGCGTGGCGGCGCTCCCACCGAGGGTTCGGATCCCACATGCAGACCGGTTCCCGCTCGCTGGCTGAGCGAGGTGTGGACGCAATGCCGAGGGTTGCGATCCCGTGGCCGGTCACGAAAAAAGACAAAAAGAAAAAAAAAAAAAACACTAATAACCAACAAAATGGCAAAATTGATGCTCCTATTGAGGTCTTAGTTACAGTGTAAGTAAATTTAAGACCATCTAATCAGATCTGACAAGAAGTCTACAGTAGTCCCCAAATTAGAAACGATCACAAAGACCGTATGAAATGTGAATTTACATTCAGTATAGTTAATGATGAACCTTCCCCCTTGGGCAAATATCTTTGTATCTTTGGGTCTTTGAGAGATTAATGATAGTATGAAGCCATCAAAGTAGCAAGACATTCTAAAATGAAGTGTTTATAAAATTTTAAAAGAGGTTTTTTGCTCTTGTAGAGTTAAGGGAAACATTTTTATAAGATTGTTTTATCATAACCTTTTAAAATCCACAAATCCCACTCCTCTAGCCACCCCAAAGATTTTCCTGCACTCTGAGTTGTCTGTCATTTCTTTGTTCTCTTCTACTTGAAAAGTACACTGAAAAAATGAATTATTCTGTAAAGTAAGCAAGTCTTCAGCCCAAAGAATAAACAAATCATTTTGGGAGGTTAATACTTCACAGCTAAAATCTTATGTTTTGCTAATGACCAAAAACCAATCCTCCAACCTGTTTTAAGGCTAGCCCCTTTTCTTCCTGCCCTCCCCACCCACCCCGTTCTTTTGGGTTAATTTTTTTGCCTACAGTTACTGTCAGATTTCTGGTATACAAGGGGTCTTCAAAAAGTTCATGGAAAGATTCATATTACCCTTCAGTTCTATTTTGCCATGGACTTTTTGAAATACCTTTGTATTTGGGATTTTATTTCAGTTGAAATATTTTAATTTCAGAAGGTACAAGTACTTTTATAAAGTACAATACTTTTTTTTAAATAAGGTACAAATACTTTTATAAGGTACAATACTTTCACTATCTGCCTTATAAAACTACAAATTTTTCATTGAGTTTTTATCACCAAAGTATGAATAATGCATTCAGTCCTGAAATGTCACAGTGAACATCAAATCATGTTACAAAATGCATTCTTGCTGGAGTTTCATGTAGCCAGCAATCTGGGGAAACAGCAGAGAAGACACGAGTTTGGAAAGGATACTTCATACTAATTTGTCATTTACCCAGGAGGGATAAAATAAGTAGCAGAAGAGTAGGTGGAGAGGAAAGTCTAAGAGATAAACATTTCAAAAGAAAAAACAAAAAAGCAAAAAACCCCAAAACCATAAATAGAAAAAAAAAAGAAAAAGAAAAAGCAGAACTAGTGTACTTGCCATCAGGGACAAGTGGAAGAAAAACCAGAAAGTAGCCAGAAAAATGGAGGGTGGGGAGGGGAGCGGGGAACAAAGTAAAGGGAGGTTAGAAACCTCATAACTACAGGAAGTGAATTTGAAACTGCAGTATCAGTTAGATTGGGCCATGTATAATATAGGATAATCTATTTTAAGGTCTGCAAATTTAATTACATCTGCATATTCACATGTTACAGGGATTAGAGTGTGAATGTCCATGGGGGCCCATTATTCTGTCTACCAGAGTATGCAACCCATGTGTTTTCAAAAAACAAGGGGAAGTCTGTTGCGAGTGTCATTTCCTGGATCAAAAGATGAGATACTGCTCCTTTTTTTCCAGCTAGAGACACTCTTATAGGGACAAGATGTCTGGAGCTGTGGCAGCCACCTCACACCCAGGAGACATCAAGAATGAGGATAAAAAGTAAATACTCCAAGGATAGCACAGCAGGAGAATAGAAAGGCCCTGGGTTCTTTATGACATTTTTGAGCAGCAGAACCAATCAATGCTAGTGATTGCCTTTTCTGGATAGCTTGTCGTTTGAGAAAACATAAGTATTTGTTCAAGCAATCAGCCTAGTTTTTTCTGTTACTGGCAACTAAAAGTAATTCTAAATGATATGTTACTACTAGCCCCAATTTTTGGAACTCTGTTTTTCAGTGCTTTAAAATGGAGTCGTTGCTAATCTGATTAGATTCATTTATACTACATTATAATTCATAATAAATGTCTTCAGTGGTGGGGCTGATCACAGCTTTACCCTGACAATGTGCTCTAAATTACAGACTTCAGGAAGAAGGTTCAGGGGTTGGCAAACTATAGGCTATTGGCAGAGTCTTGCCAGCATAAGCAGAGGGAGCTAAGAAAAGTTTTTACACCTTTAAAGGGGTGTTAAGATAAAGACAAAGAAAAGTATGTGGCTACAAAGCTGAAAATATTTATTATCTGGTTCTTTACAGAAAAACCTTGCCAACTCCCTGCACTGGTCATACAGAAGACTCACCTCTCATGAAGTTGAGACTAGGGTTTTACTAAGGAAAGTCATTAGGTCAGCATTTAATTTAAAAAAAATTATTGTGGTCACCGTGTAAAGCTATGGCACCAGTGAAGATGAATTCTATCTTTGAATTAAATTCCTATTCATTTCAACCATTTATTAAATTTCTATTACAAGACTATGGAAGACACTATGGTTACATAATAAAACAGCCTCTCAATGTGACTGAAAATCATTCGGTGAGTCATCTTTTCTGGGAGAAATAGTCTATGCAATACTCCAAGGTCCTGTATACAAAGGATTGCATAAAAATTTTTATATGTATCCACCTTTGTCTAGGAACATTGAGGCAGTAGATGGTTGTAAATTTGGGCCTGCAACTTAGGAGCAGAAGAGGAGAAAAGGAATGAACAACCACTTAACTACTATTTTATGTATGGTATTTTATTTAATTACCACGTCCATCCCAAAAGGTAAATTCTGTTTTGTAGTTTCTACTTCAGGTCATACTCCAGTGTCCATAATTCCTTTCACTAAACCAAACTGCTTCCTAAAGGGAAGCCAGGGCTAAAGTTAAAGATTAGGGAATAATTCATAAACCTCTTTAAAACTCTGGGGAGGGCAGACAAGCAGTGACTATAATAAGAGAAAAGGTCGAACAAAACCTGAGGATTGCCTGCATTTAATTACTGGCAGAGGGAAGGAAGCTAGTGGAAAACGCTGAAAGGAAGCAATCAGAATGAGTAAACAGAACTAAAAGACAGTAGTTCCACGGAGGCTTAGAAATTCAAAAGTTTTAGAAGCTTCAGGGCCTTTAAGCAGGACAGACACTAAAGTGAAGTAATTGAATTTGGCCAATAGGAGATAAAGTTATATTTTATGCTGTTGTCTAATTTGGTAGCCACTAACTATATGTTGCTGTTTAAATTTAAATGAATAAAAACTAAACAAAAGTTTAAAAATTCAAAATTCAGTTCCTTTGTTGTACTAGCCACATTTGAAATGCTCAGAAGCCACTTGTTGCTGGTGTCTACTATACTGGACAGCTCCGATTATAAAACATTTCTATCACTGCAGAAAGTTCTATTGGGACGTGTTTCTGAAAGCACCTAGTAGTGCAGAAGCAAGATTGCAATGGGGGAGATTTGACATATTTCCCCTCACACCCAAGTAGTGGTAGTGCAGAAGCAAGATTGCAATGGGGGAGATTTGACATATTTCCCCTCACACCCAAGTAGTTTGCAATGTCTGGTTGATTTGACCTCTCCAGCTTGCACTTACCTCCTAACCTTTGCTATTCAGTTTCCGTTCTCACCCTTTCTTTCCTGGACTATTGCAATGGCTCTCTATCTGCCTCCCAACTTCTGTTCTTCCTCTGTTTACCTATTCTCCACACAAATCATTCCTCCACTTAACAACACGCTCTTTTCAGTGCCACTTTTCCTGGCCAGTCTACTGTGGTGGGGAGCGGATGGGACATTGTAACACCACCATAGAAAGGTGATTCCCTCCCACCTCATCCCCCGAGATTTCCTTCCCTGCACTTACACAGCTCATAATTCAATGCGGGTAGAATGATAATAATACATTCATATCACGAATAACATTACAGCAGGAACAACTGCTAATGATCACCCTCTCCTGTGTCTTTTATTTCTGATCTGTTACCAAATCTTTTTCCTTTCCCTCTGCCACTGCTGTGTCCCAGTTAATATTTCGTTACTTTATACTTTACCACTTCAACAATCGTTTTACTTCTAGTCTCTCCTCCCACCTTCCACAAGAAGATCCGGTCATATTATTCCATTTTTCTAATATTCCGGACCCCCTTAGGCCTACCGAATAGAAGGGCGTGAGGTCTTCTAATAATCCTGCCTTGCCTCCTTCAACGTACCTCCACACATCTAACACTCTGCGGTACTCACCATTCCCCTGGCACATTCATGCATATTCACCTCCTTTCCTCCCGCCCCTGCGATGTCATCTTTCAGACCCCTGGATCCTCTCCCATGCCTCTAATAAGATTCAGGAGGAAAGATGCACAAAGAGCCTTAAGTGTTGCGACCATTATTGGGGAACCGAAGGACACAAACCTGTTTGACCTTGTCTATTTGGGGAGCGACCGATAAATGCAAGCTGCACTCCCAACCATTACTATTCCTCCAAATAAGGCAACCGAATTTTCACTGCAATAGACGGCAGTTTATAAATAAAAGACAGTCGGCGAAGAAAGGGTCAATATGGGGCTGGGAGGCGAAGAGGATTGTGGGAGCTCTGCTCGTCGCCCCGTTGACTCATGGGAAATGTAGTGCAGTTTTCTCCAGCATGGCCGCGCCCAGGTGAGGTGGTGTGTGAATACCCGCCGCGGCTTTCTCGGGCTAGAGTGGAGAGATTGGCGAAGGAGAGAGCATTAGCGTGTGAGAACAGTGCCCGAGTCGAGGCGGAGGTGTGCGGCACTTCTTGCTGGCGGATACAGTGGGTGCAAATCCCCGCTTCCGCTTGTTGGCCTCTTTCGGTCTTCTCTGTCTGCCCCACCGGTGTGGGGCTGAGACTCCAGGGAAGAGGGAGGATCCGGGCGGCGCCCTGTTGCGGTCTGTGGGCAGTAGGGTGTCTGTGCGTTGGGTGGTTCTGTCAGTGTTTAAGGTACACTTGTTTGTGTTTGGAGCACGAGCTCACGTGGTGTCTGTCAATCTTGTTTTTCTGGGGGGAGGGGGAGGTGCGTTGGAGACTGGCCATTGCAACCTGGTATGTGTTAGTCTGGAGCTTCTGGGGCTTTTCTGACAGGTGTCAATCCAGTGAAGCAAAGGCATTGCTGGTGGCCTGGTCGCTCACGCAGCTGAGTCTTCCTATGCTCTTATTTGAGTAATCCCTTTGACCCGTGGACCTATGGTGGTGTCAGCTTGTGGTTTTGATTAATTTCATTAAACACACATTCATTGTCACCTGTATGCTAGGCACTCAAGTCTGTACCCTCAAGTAGATGACAGTCTTCTGGGTGAGCCAAACACACAAACAGAACATTATAATATGTGAAAGCTCGAGAGATAGAGATACTCACTAGGTGTTAATGAAAACGTTGAAGAAGGCTACCAAATAGATTTCTGGAGGAGAAGTTTAGGAGCTAAGGTGGCAAATTCAATTTAGGTTTATTCCACAAATATTTATTGAGCAGCTACTAGGTGCTAGATCCTGTTTAGGTGCTGGGTGCTACAGGGTGAACAGTGCAAACAAAATCTCTACTTCGTGGAGCATACTTTCTATTAAGTTATAGAGAGGAGACAAATTAATTAATAACAGTATAAGAAGACATAGTAAGTGGTCTTCAAAGAGTTAAAATGGAGTGATATGACAAGTGATGGGCTGAATTTTTTCTAATCATTTAATACCTTTATTTTTTAATTACCTTTTTTAATAGGTAATGCAATTTGAATAGCTTCAATTCAGGAGTCATGAAAGAGGAAAGCACCCTCTCATTCACCAATTGATTGTGTGTTCTAAAAAGTTTTATGTATGCTCTCTATACCTGTGGTATACTTTAAATCAAGCTTCATTTGATATGAGTTTAGTTTATTTCTAATCTTTGTTATTAAGTATAATTTACATACAAGCACAGGAATATTTGTTTTTTTGTTTTTTTTTTTTTTCCTACTGCTTGGTTCAAAATAGTCTCTCTCTTGTTCTAACAGGGCATGGAAATACATACTGTTATTACCATTTAGGGAAATTTTCAATACGATGTATTGGGGTAAAAGTTACTAACAGCAAGTAGCAGAGCATGCATAATCTCCAAACTTTTATTATCCCACAGAGTGTATGCTTAGGCTGGAGGTGGCTGGACTGGACTCAGCATGGCTTGTATCCTAGTCAATAGTGACCTGACTCTCATGACATGGCAAGGAGTATCTAATTATCTATGTAATAGTGGCAACTCCCTGACCAGAGGAGTGGCCTTTTTAGAAAAGGGGCACCTCCAGACCTCAGCAGCTCATGTTATGCTATTCTTCGTTGAGGTCACTCAGATCTGCTGGGCCAGCAAATTGCCGAGCCACTGAAATGGAAGAAGAATGAGCCTCAAAGGCTATCTGGATTTATCTTTCTTTTCATGCAGTAATATTGCATGACTGAGGGAGGGAGAAAAGAAGGGGATGACAAAATTGTGGTTATGAGGCTTCATTTGCTGGTGCTGTAATCTTAGGGACAGACTTTTAAAAAGATGTATTTAACATCGTTTCTTTCTCATTTCTTCCACTTTGCAGTCTTTGCTCATGTGAAATATTAAGAAAAAATTCTGTAGTTTACTCATCTTTTGTTCTACATGACATACTGCAAAGTTGCTGTTCCAAATATGGAGATCTTGGAATGGAATGTGCCTACAACATAGGTCCTTTGAAGGCCCTCAGCTGTTCTTCGTCTTGTTAAACCATTCTGATCTGGCTTTTTTGAAAATTAACAGTAATATAGTAATAAATAAATTTAATTATCCTAACAAAGCTATGAGATAGGCCCTATTATTATAATCCCTAATCCTATCTACAGATGAAGAAACTGAAGCACAGAGATATGTTACTAACTCACCCAGGATCATAAAGCTGAGAATGGTACAACTGAGATTTGAACCTGGAACCCGGACTCCTAAACACTGTGTAATACTGCCTCATAGCACTGAATGAGGATTTGGGGTAACGAAGAAATTATGATTTAATCCCAAAGAGCTCATAGTCCAGTGGAAGGGAACAGATATTTGAGCAAATAATTAGTCAATGCAATGTTAGAAATATCCATTGTTATTCCCTTCCTGTCTAAAGCTTTCTAACCTCAGTCCCTTTCTTATGAGCCACTCATATTGCAACCTGCTAGCAAGATGTTGCAACTGTGTATCTCAACAAAATCTTAAACATACTAGCATACTTCAAAAAGTTCATGGAAAAATGGGATCAAAAGATAATAGGAATCTTTCTATGAACTTTTTGAGGTATCCTCGTTTACATCCTAAATCTGACTCATTACCTCCTGTACTGAGCAGCTCTTTCTTACCTTCCTCCTGATTTTCCAATTTTGAAATGACATCACTTGTCTTAGTCACTCAGGCTCTGTCGTGTTAGTAAGTCATCTTTGATTCCTCTCTCCCTCACGTCTGAGTAGTGATCAAAGCGTGTTGACTATACCTGAACTTTTCTTTCATCCTTCACCTCTCCTCTCTCTCCCTGTTTCTTTTCTTTTTACTACCTCCAACCTAGATCAGGTCAACATTTCTACTTGCCAACCTGGGTTATTGCAGGTCTTCTTACCTCTCGCCTCCCTACTGTGCTGTCCAGCCAGCCTGCCTTACTGGCCTTACCTCCTATCATATGTACCCTGTGTGCTAGGAAGCTGGACTGCTGGCATTTCAGTAGACTTGGCATTTTTCTTCTATAAAGATTAGTAATTAGTTTCGACTGTTTATGAGCTATTTTGAAATATGATTTTATTTAACCACCTACATTTATTTCCTTTGTAACTCTGAAGTGTGTAGAGAGGGGACTGCAGAGTCAGCAAACTCTTTCGGCTCTAAAAACATTATACCTCCATCTCACTGTCTTTGCTAGACATGTCCATTTCTGTTTTTGCTTCTGCTCTTTATCACCTCACTGAATACCTTCCTTTCCATGTGACTCTATGGTGTTCTCATCCTTCAGTACTTAGCACTAGTCCCCTTCTGTTTTGGAGTTTTCCTAACTTTTCCAGTTAACATTGGTCTTATTTTTTGTCTCTAATTCATGTCACACCTAAATACTGTACCATTAGCACTTAATTATATAAAGATGTGTCATATTCTTTCCCTGTTAAGTGTTTGTTTTCCTCAACTAACTTATACACTTGTCGAAAGCATAAACTGTGTATTATTGTTGTATACTGCAGGGTGCTGAGATCATAATAAGCACATGTATATTTACTCATTTGTCCCTTCAACAAATATTTATTGAGTACCTAGTGTGCTGGCATTCCTACTCCCTTGGAGTTGATATCGTGGTGGGTAAGTTAAGCTAACAGATGAATCACCACAAATTTAGTTAAATTCTGTGAACAAAATAAAATTGACTACTGTGATAAAGAATGATGTAGGGTGCTGATTTGGACAGTGTGATTATAGAGGCTTCTTTGGGAAAATACATAGTAACTACTTGCTGATGAACATATTTCAGTAAAGTGAAAACATAATTTTATGGGGTTTTGTTTCTGTTATTTAAAGTTTTATAGATATAAAAATATATAACATATACCATTTTAAAAATCAACAAACACCTATAGCTACCATCTAGCTTAAGAAATATCTTTGATGCTCCTATGTATCACATTTACATCAATTTCCTTACCCTCCTCCATTGAAATAACGTCTCTCCTGAATTTTGTGTTTATCATTTCCTTGCTTTTCTTTTAGCTTTGCTATATATATGTATTTCCAAACAGTATATGACTTACTTTTGGATTTTGAACTTTATGTAAATGGAATCATATTGTATATTCTTCCATGAATTTTTTGTGTTGTTTCTTCCCTCTCCCATTTCCCTTCTTCTCCCACTCCTCCTCCTCTTTGCCTGGCTTTACATTATGATTGTGAAATTTGTCTAGGTTGCATTTTATCTAGGACTTTCATAAGTTAAGGGATACACCACCTATGGGTAAAATAGTGCACTTAATGGAGCTACAACTTTGGAACTTTTTTAGAAATGTCAGAGATGCTATTAGATGTTCTTACCTCTTTGTTATATTACTAGATATTCCTTTATTTTCTGTGTATCTGTTTGTTCTCACTTTCTTTGGTTGGTGAAAGGTAAACTAAACATTTAAGAAAATTGTCACATAGAAATATTTATAAATTATAGAATATATGAATAGCATCATTATAATTGTTCCTTCAGGACTCTTAAGATTGACAGTTTTTGCTGGGGTTTTTTTGGCAGTACTGCAATGGACGGCAGCCTTCAAAGTAATTACAAACTCAGTAAAACTGAGAAGAAGTTCTTAAGGAAACAGATACAAGCCAGGCATACTTTGCTGAGACATGAAGGCATTGAGACAGTATCATATGCCACTCAGGTAACCTAAAACTATTATTGTCATTTCAGTGTAAACACATTACATGTTAATGTATTCTATTAGTATTTGTTAATAATTGCTCAAAGACTGTAACTATTCAGCTATGTGTTATATTTATGTTTTATATATATATGTATATATATGATAGGATCTGCTAACTTTCTATTTTGGGCCATAGCCTAGCCTATAGTTTGAATTTCTATTGATTGTGTTGTTTGAGCTAAAGGAGTTGTACGTATATATTAACAATAATAACACTGTACAAGTCATTTCAATTTACGAAGCAAACTTGTTTTCATTACTATATTTAATTCCCTAAAAACCTTTGTGAGATAGTTGAGAAAACTAAAGTTCTGAGAGGTTATAAGTCCATTGATAGATAAGTCCTTTGATATAAGCTAGTAAGAAGCTGAATAGAACCTTAAAGCTAGATCTTCTGTATCCTAATACTGAACCCTTGGCGGGAGCGTTGCCGCGCTCCCAAGCGGAGCACTGTAGCAGTGCGCCACCGGGCCGACCTAAGTATCCAAACCTTTTGATACCCATGTCCAGTATCCAATCCAAAATTATGAGGCATGCTAAAAACAATCAGGACCATTGACCAAAACTCAGAGGAAAAAGAAAGACCATAGAAATAAACCCACAAAGAGTTTAAAATAACTATGGTTAATATGACCTAGCAATCCCACTATTGGGTATATATCCAAAGGAATGGAAATCATCATGTTGAAGGGATACCTGCACTCCCATGTTTACTGCAGCTCTACAACAGCCAAGGGTTGGAACCAACCGAAATGTCCATCAATGGATGACTGGATGAAGAAAATGCAGTACATATAGACAATGGAATACTACTCAGCCAATAGAAAATAATGAAATTCGGCCATTTGCAGCAACATGGATGAGCTTGGAGAAAATTATGCTAAGTGAAGTAAGCCAGGCACAGAAAGAAAAACACCACATGTCCTCACCCATATGTGGAAGCTAATAAAGTGGATTTCAAAGAAGTAGAGAGTAGAATAGTGGTTGTTAGAAACTGGTAAGAAGAGTGGGGATGAGGGATGGGGAGAGGGTGGTCAATGGATATAAAATTATAGAGAGATAGAAAGAATAAGATCTAGTGTTCTATAGCAATACAGAGAGGCTACAGCCAACAACAAATTACTGTATAACCTTAAGTAGCTAGTTGAGAGGATGCTGAAAGTTCCCAACACAAGGATGTGACAAATGTTTGAGCTGATAGATATGCTGAACACCTTGATATGATATTTGCACAAGTGAAAATGTACCCAAATATCACATTGTACTCCATAAATATATACAATTATCATAGGTCANATATTTAATTCCCTAAAAACCTTTGTGAGATAGTTGAGAAAACTAAAGTTCTGAGAGGTTATAAGTCCATTGATATAAGCTAGTAAGAAGCTGAATAGAACCTTAAAGCTAGATCTTCTGTATCCTAATACAATCTTTTGTCTTCTCTTCCTAACCTCACCTATATTATAAAGTATTTTGATTATATGCTATAAGACATTTTTAATTTATTAGACCTTATTTACAAAGCCTCTTTATTATCTAATGGCAATAATTGAATAAGATGATATATAGGAAAGACTACAAGATTTCCTGGGCTATGAATTAGAAGAACTCAGTTTAACTCTTAGCTTCTCCACTTATTTGGACATGAACAGTACCCTTTGACCTTGGCTTTCTTCATTTGTAGGTAGGGCATACTATTGCATACATTTTTACTCCACTGGATTGTTAGATTCTAGAGAATCTAATAGTAGTTACTGGACACTAAAATACTACATGAGTATAAGGAATTCTTATAATATTCTTTTTGGTTTATAAAGTTATAGAATAAGTGTAGGAAGGAAGCTTAGATATCATCTATCTGAGGGCCAGACATAGAATTGAGAACATGAAGCTGGGATTAAAATTTAGCTCTCTTGGGGCCGGCCCAGTGGCGCACTGCTACAGTGCGCCGCTTGGGAGCGCGACGCTCCCACCGAGGTTCGGATCCCACATACAGACCGGCTGCTCACTGGCTGAGTGAGGTGCGGACGCGACACC